CTCCAGATAGTTCCGAGGGAGCGCAAGAAAGCCACACGGCGGCCCAAGTGGGCCTCTCGATGGTCCGCTTCCCAATGGTTCATCGATCCTCTCCTGGCAGCGGGTTGTGCCAGCAAGCTGACGTGGCGAGAAAGAGAGCCCTGCAGCATGAAGCAGCAACAGCGACCGGCAGCAGTACGCAGCATGAAGCAGGCAGCAGCGGCAACACGCAGCAGCAAACAACAGCATGCAGCAGCAGGTAGCAGCACGCACCAGGCAGAACTGGCCATCAGCAGCACCCTGCAGACACTAGCATGCGCGGAATGTGAAGATAGAAACCCGCGTAATCATTTCAGCCTCTCGGCAGCATGTCCACAATCACATGTCTGTTCGTGGAGATTTCGTGGACGTAGTCCACGGGTCAGACCTAGTCAGCTACAATGCTGGGATCAGCGCGTGCGAGAAGGGCGAGCAGTGGCAGCCAGCGCTGGCGTTGCTGAGCGAGATGCGGGAGGCAAAGCTGGTGCCCGACGTCATCTCTTCTACAATGCAGCGCCTCTTGCGTACCAGAAGGGCCTGAGTCAAAACGAGGGTTTCCGGGGCTTTGGCAGGCCCAGGCCAAACGAAGAGGGCCGGGCGTTCCAGGACGGCCCAGGAGGGCCCCAGACGGTCCAAGATGATTTGGGACACCTCCAGGCGTTTGAGAAGTCGCCAATTTGGCTTGCAGACGGCCCAACAGGGCCCCAAGATGGCTCAAGAGGGCTCCGCAAGGCCCCCCACGTTCTCGCCTTTTCGGGTTTCCGACGCTCCAAGACGGCCCGAGATTGCCCCAACATCGCCTCAAGGCAGACGGCCCACCAGGCCCCCAAGAGGGCCCCAGGACAGCCCAAGACGGCCGCAAGACGGCCGAGGAGGCCCCCACCGGCCCATGACAGCTCCAAGCAGAACGCCAGAGAGTCCCAATTGGGGGAGCTCGAAGTGACATTTCGCACCCTCCGCCTCAAGAAGATGACCCCCGAGACCGCCGGCGGGCCCCCAAGAGGACCCCCAGAAGTCCCAGGAGGCCTCAGGGGCCCGAGTCAGGCCTCGAGCGGCCCCCAGGGGCCCGAGGACACCGCCAACACAGCCGCCAAGAGGCTTCCGAGGGAAGATCCCTCCGAGAGCTCTGGGACTGCGCCGGCCATCCGGCTCTCCATGAGCGACGCAAGAGGAGACCAGATGTTCGGCCGCACGCGCGCTGAGGCCATCGAGACAGTCGCGCGGTGGCCTCTTCTCCTGCCTCCCTATCTCGCTCCTCGCTCCTCGCCGCCTTCTCCTCGCTCCCATGCCTCTCTCTCTCTCTCTTTTCTTCGCTCCCATTGCTCCTCGCTGCTCACTCTTCCTCGATCCTCCCTCCTCTCTCCTGGCCCCACGCCTCTCTCTCTCTCTCTCCCTCTCCCGCGGCGCCAGCACAGAGCGGGAGACCGAGCACCTCGCACCCACCACGCGGCACCGAACGCAACTGCAAGCACGCCTCTCATCACCCGCCGACATGTCTCCCCGAAAGTATCCCTCCATCTCCGTTGTCCGATCCTGCTCCCCAGAAGCCTTCGGACGCCTCATGCGACGAAGCGCCCCTGGACATGATTAATGAGTGAACGGCGAACTCAGGTCTAAGCTTGACTTTCGCCGCAGCTCCTCCTTCGCCGCAGAACCAAGCAACCCCACAGCAACGCCCTTAACACCAAACCCGACGCACGGGATCGCAAGCCCCATGCCACGTCGCACCTCGAACAAACGTGCCGACATCTCCACAACATTCCACCGAGATCCGAGAACACATCCACGGACCCGCAGTGAACGCACAGCAAACATGCTTGCATGCTCGGCACCCTCACCCTCAAATTTTCCGCACCTCGCATCCAACGCAGTCCGCCGACCACCCGCCAAAGCGGTCGCCTAAATATTCTGGCCTATTATTTGCTCCGCCCGCGCTCTACCCCTTCCGAGGCGCTGGCCGACATCCCACGTGATCTTGGCTGCCACCGAGCAGAAGAGCAAGCGACAACGCAACCCAGCAAGCGAGCCGGCGAGCTGGCAGGCATGGGATTAGGAATGTTGGCCAGCAGGCAAACAGAAACATTTGGTATAGAGTTGCTTGGGCAGCAGGCTAGCAGCCACGCGCGCAGGGCAGCGCGCAAGCATGACAGCAGGCAGGCGATTCCCACCCCTGCGTGCGAATCAGCTGTCGTGGACGTGAGTCCACGGGTCCGCCGTAGTCAGCTACATGGCTGCGACCTGCGCGTGTGAGAGGTGCGGCCAGTGGCAGCATGCCTTGTCGTTGCTCAGCGAGATGCGGGAGTGCAATGTGGAGACGGACGACATCAGTTATAACGTGTGCGCCACAGCGTATGAGAGGTCGTCTCTCGACTCGGCAGGATTTCCAGGCTATCTTGGGATCGGTCTTTCGCAATTTCGCGTGTCTTGCGAAGCATTGCGCGTGTGAGAACTTGTTGGGCAACCGCTGCGATTACGTGGACGGACATCCGTACTGTGACTCTGACAGCGGATTCAATCGCGCAAGAAGTTGTTTCGGATAATATTGCACGGATCCGTTCTGGTCGGCTACAGCGGTGAGATCAGCATGTGTGAGAGAGAGGCGTGTAGTGAAAGCGGCTCATGCCGTTCTTCATCGAGATGGTGATCTTCAAGTTGGGGCCCAATGTCGACAGGTGCTCAGCGAGTTGCGGGATGTGATGTCGGAGCCCAAAGTCATCTGTACCAATTCTGAGCGAATTATGTGCCATATATGAACGCAGTGTGCTAGCTCCCGTGCCCCCGACACTGGGCCAGGATGCTCCAAAGACGCCTGTAGCTGCTCGTAAGATCCAGTGCCCGCACGAGGGCCCAGTTGAGTTGACGACACTCCAGAGAGGGTCCACGGTCCCCGAACGGATCTACGATTGCCCCAAGATGCTTCTGAGGGAACCCGAAGCCGCTTCTCAAGTCTCCCTCCGCGCTCTACTCATGTTGCTCCTCGCTCCTTCCTCGCCTTTCGCCTTGATCCTCGTTGAGCCCTCGGTTTTCCCACCTCCCTCCTCGAACCTGACTCCTCGCTCCTTGCTCTTCGCTCCTCCCTCCTCGTTCCCCTCTGCGAGCGCCAGGTGGCGTCAGCCAGTTGGCAGGACTGCGGAGAAGCAGCACCCCGCAGGCTGAGAAGCAGAAGTAACGTAGCGAACAGCCGCAGCACGCAGCCCTCCGCAAGCACCACCCGCGGCAGCACGGAAGCAGCAAACACCAGCAGCATGGTTCGATGCTCGTTTGGGGGACATTCCTGGGGCCCACCTAGTGGATTTGTTCGACTCAGGTTCGACTCAAGTTCGACTCAGGTTCGACACAGATTCGACTCAGATTCGACCCAGGTTCGACTCAGCTTCGACTCAGGTTCTACTCAGGTTCGACGCAGCTTCGACGCACGAGTGAAGCGAGTGGCTCCAGGAAGGTCCCCAGAATGAGCATCTAAGCATGGGACAGGCAGCAGCATCCTGCAGCTGCAGGCAGCAGCAGCAGCAAAACCACATTTGGGGCCCAGCGTCACCATGAAAGTCCTCCCGCGACAGCTCCGCCCCGAGCCAGCGTGCCATCTCGGACAAACGTCGAGGCTAGCATGCCGCGGTTCAGCACCAGTGGACCTCTGCGTGCGAGAAGGTACTGTGCGTCAATGGCCGTTGTTTCCTTCCGGGAGGCCCCAGGAGGCCGAAACGCGTCCCAGGGGCAGTTTGTACAGCCTTGTGGGCCTCTGGCCACGCCCCATACACGTGCCAACGGAGCCCAGAGACAGCCGAAGAGGCGCCCAAGACTGCCCCGACGGCCTACGAGGCCCCCAAGACGACCCAAGAAATATCCACGAGGGCTCCCAAGGCAGCCCCAAAAGGCAAAAGTGGTTTCATTCCCTAGGAGAGTTTGCAGTGCTTTGGCTTAGCATGTTTTGTCTTCGCAGCGTTCCAGCAGGCTTTGGAGGCGACCTGGATTCCCCCAAGACAGCCTCAGCTCCCATGAGAGTCCCAAGACGGTCCAAGAGGGCCCCAGGACGGTCTAAGAGATGCCCAAGACGGCCCACGAGGGCCCCAAGAGGCCCCCCAAGAGAGCGAACTCGAAGTGACATTTTGCGGCCTCCGCTCCAGGACGAACCTGGAAGCCGCCAGCAGGCCCCTGAGATGCCCCCTACAAGCCCCAGGAGTCCCCCAAGACTTTCAGGCCCCAAGAGGGCCCCTAGAGGCCCTAAGGCACCCCAAAGCACAGCCTCGAAGAGGCTTTCGAGGGAAGATCCCCATGGAGCTCTGTGACTGTGCCGGCCACCCATGAGAGACCACATAAATGAGCGAAGGAGACTCTCTCCTCGCCCCTCGCCTCCCTCGCCTCGCTTCTGGCTTCTCCCTTCTCGCTCGACCTCGCTCCTTCACCTCTCTCCTGCCCCCTCGCTTCTCCCTCCTGGCTGCTGGCGCCAGCCTCCCTTTTCCTCCGCGGCCCTCCCTTTCTCCATCCTCGCATCTTTCTCTCTCTCTCTCTCTCTCTCTTCCCTCGGCCGTCGCGCGTCCATTCTCGCACCGTGCTCCTCGCTGATCGCACCTCGATTTCCCCCACCCCTCCCCCCTCGGCCCTGACTCATTGCTCCTTGCTGCTCGCTCCTCGCTCACTCACGAGCTCCAGGTTGCGTTAGCTGGCATGGATACCAAGACGCAGCACTCTGCAGCCCCAAACAGCAGCGAGCAGCAGCATTCCGCAGCAGCATTCCGCAGCAGGCAAAGGCGGCACTGCAAAAGCAGGCAGCACCAAGAACATGCCGCAGGCAGAGGCAAGCTGCATCTGAAGGCAGCAACAGCAAAGCCGAAGTTCGGGCCCAACGCCATCTCGACAGCCTTTCGGCTACATCTCTGCCCTGGTCCAACGTGCCATCTCGGACTTCTGTCGTGGGCATTCGGCCACGGGTCAGCCCTAGTCAGCTACAGCGCTGGGATCAGCGCTTGTGAGAAGGGGTCGCAATGGCAGCGGGCCTTGGTGCTGCTCAGCGAGATGCGGGAGGCGAAGGTTCACCACTGACTGAACCACTCGCACCGACCAGCAGGCCTCGGCAGGCCACCGGCAGACTTTGAGCTTTCGGAGGGGGCGCGGATCCTACATTATTTTTCACATGTTCCCGAAATCCACGCCAGGGCAAATCGCTCTGCACGGCTGGTTCATTCCCGCCCAGAACCCCACCTTCTGCGCGGCCCTCGGGTAGGGTGGGGCTGGTTTGGTCGCTGGTCAAAGGTGGAGCTCACCGACATCATCTTTACAGCGCCGGTTTTAAGACATGCTCCGCGTGCGGATCATACATTAAAATAACGGGATCTAGTATTAAAAACAATGATTACTGTATGCATTGAATTATTCGTTAGTTAATCATGTATTTAACATCCAATGTTTTAAACATCATATGTGTTAAAACCTGCCCTGTACAATGCTGGGACGAGCGCGTGAGAGCAGGGCTCGTGCACCGAGTGGCCCACGGCGGCCCCGAGCCGCTCACGACGGCGCTCCAGAGGCCCAAGGTACGGCCCGAGCACGGCCCCAGAGGGCGCCCCGACCGCCCCACAAGGTGGCTCGGAGGTGCTCCATGAGGCCGCCCCGGCGGCCCCAGAGGACCCCCAGCGAGCCCCAGGGCGGCCCGAGAGGGCCCCAGAAACAGGCCCAGGAGCACGCCGTTGACGGCGCCACGCGGCCAAAAGCATGGATTCCCCACGAGTGCTGAAGAATGTCCACGCTCTGGCCATGCTGGGCCACGAAGCCCCCTGCCAGGTCGCCCCTGCCCGGTCGCCGCACGAGAGCCCAACAGGCCCCCCAGAGGACCCCAAGACGACCCAAGACAGTTCCACGACGGCCCAACAGGCGCCCAGGAAGCAGCCAAGTCAGTCGCAAGACCGACCCAAAACGTCCCACGACCTCCCCAAGACAGCCCAAGAGGCACCCAAGGCGGCCCCAGACGGCCCCAAGACGGCCTCAGATGCACCCGAGACAGCCCAAAAGGTCCCCAAGAGGCCCCCAGGAAGCCGCGAAGCGGCCCCCAGGAAGCCGCGAAGCGGCCCCCAGGAGGCCCTAAGTGCCTCCAGGACAGAGCTGGCAGAGCGTGTGTCGCAACGAAATGTGGCCCTTTTTTATGTACGTTGCAAGGGTGAGAGGGCAACGAAAAGCCACATGCAGGAGCTCGGTAGTCAAGAGTCGCAAGCAACTGAGGCCATCTGTTTATGGCGATCGTACGGCGGCGAAGCGCGAGAGGGCATGGGAGATGCGTAGATGGGAGCCCGCAGGTCACGAGTCGCAGTGAAGTGTGGCCGCGTGTCTGCCGGAGGGACGTCGATCAGCCGCCTGTGCGTTGGTCGTGGCCGGAGGCCACGGGTCAGCCCCTGTCAGCTACAGCGCCGGGATCAGCGCGTGTGAAAAAGGCGAGCAGTGGCAGCGGGCCTTGGCGCTGCTCAGCGAAATGCGGGAGGCGAAGCTGGATCCCCACGACATCTGCCCTACGATGCCGGAACCTCTGCATGCGAGACGACTCTGCGCAGCAGTCGCGTTTTGCCCCGGGGAGGCCGAAGATCGTCTCTGGCGCAGCTCCGACAGGCCTGCGGGCTTCGGCCACGCTCCCTATACTGCCCAAGAGACTCCCCAAAGACCGCCGAAAAGGGGCCCAGGACGGGCCCGGGAGGCCCCCGAGACGGCCCAAGAAAGCCCCAAGAGGCCAAGAGGCCCCCCAGGGAGGGCCCAGAGAAGCCAACATCTCTGATTCCCTACAGGTTTCTGGACGGATTGCGGCGTTCTCGCTCTCTCGAGATTCCGAGGCTACAGTCAAAAACCTTCTTTCGGCTTCCAAGGGTCTTACGTCCTTACCGCGCGTTCTTATTAGGGTTTTTGATTGCTCGCGATGGCCCACGAGGCCGCAAAGATCGCTCCAAGGCAGCCCCACAGGCCCCCCGAAGGGGGCCCCCGCGAGCCCAGGCCAGCCCCAAGAGGGACCCAAAAGAGTGCCCCAGGAGGGGGAGCTCGCATCTCGCACCTCGCACCCTCCAGTCCAAGGTGGCCGCGAAACTGCCAGCGCAGTTACCCCCAAGAGGGGCCCGAGAGTGCCCCAAGAGGGGCAGCCCCAAGAGGGACCCAAAAGAGTGCCCCAGGAGGGGAAACTCGCATCTCGCACCTCGCACCCTCCAGTCCAGGACGGCCCCGAGACTGCCAGCGTAATTCCACCCCCAAAACTACCACCCAGAAGCCCCAGGGAGGCCCGCACGAGGCCCAAACCCAGGCCCACGAGGGGCCCCGACGCGCCCGAGAGGCCCCCCACACGAGGCTTCCGGGTGGAGCTCCGAGTCGCGGGGCCGAGCCGGCCGCCCCTCCGAGAGCCCCCCCCTCGGCGACCCCAGGGGGAGACCAGATGGTCGGCCCCACACATCCTCGCCGAGGCCTTTTGAGGCACTCGCGTCCTGGCCTCGTCGCATGCCTCGGTCTCTCCCGTGCTGCTCCGCGCTCCTCGCTCCTCGCCGATCCCTCGTCGCTCCTCGCCTCTCCGTCCTTGGTCCTCTTCCTGGCGCCTCTCTCGTTGCTCTTCCTTGCGCCTCCCGCCTCTCTCCCCGGCCCTCCATTTTTCCTCTTGGCCACTGGCTTTTGCCTGCCCCTCCTTCGGCTCTCCCTTGTCCCGCCGCGCCTCTCGTTCTCTCTCTCTCTCTCTCTTTTTTTTTTTCTCTCTCTCTCTCTCTCTCTCTCTCCTCTCTCTCTCTCTCTGTTCTATTTTCGACCTTTTGGTCCCCTTCTCGCTCCTTGCTCGTCGCTGATCGCTCTTTACTCCCTCCCCTCCCCTCGACTCTGTTTTCTTGCTCCACGGTCCACTCATGGACTCTTAGTTGCGTCAGCTGGCAAAGGTCATTACCAAGAAGCAGCACTCTCCACCCTCAAGTAGCAACAGCGAACAGCAGCTGTCCGCAGCAAGCAGCGGCAGCACACAGCCAAAGATCGTAGAAGCGGCAACATGCCGCATGCGGCAGCACCTTGCAGCTGCAGGCAGCAACAGCAGATGTGGGGTTCGGGCCCGCGGTCATCACGAAAGCGTTTCGGCTACATCTCTGCTCTGGCCCCACGTGCCATCTCGGACATATTTCGTGGCCGGTAGCCCACAGGTCAGCCCTAGTCAGCTACAGCGCTGGGATCAGCGCGTGTGGGAAGGGGGCGCAGTGGCAGCGGGCCTTGGCGCTGCTCAGCGAGATGCGGGAGGAGAGGCTGGAGCCAACCGTCATCAGCTACGGCACCGAGGTCAGCTCGTGCGAGAAGGCCAAGCGCACTGCCGGGGGGAGCCGCGCGCAGGAAGGGCGGAGGATCCGATGGCCAAGAGCAGGCCCTGGCCGGCCCTGGGCAGCCCCATGACGATGGCCGGAGACGCCCCCAGACGGGCGAAGAGCTCCCCAATGCGGCTGTCATGCGGCCCCCGTTGTGCCGGAAGGTTGCGCGCAAGAGGGCTCCAAGAGGGATCCAAGAGGCTCCGAGAGTCCAAGAGGTTCGACGTTCCCGCCTCTTCGGGGTCTCCTCGCTCCCCAAGGCCAGAGAGAGTTTTGAGACAGCCCAAGAGGGCCCCGAGACGGCCCCAGCGGCCCCCAAGACGACCCAAGACGACCCCAAGAAGGGCCCACGAGGGGGAACTCAAAAATACACGTCGCGCCCTATATAGACTGTTGGCTTGCCGAGTCGTCTGGCTGATCCCGGCACGATGTGCCAGCCCTCAGGCCAGCGTGCGCCCAAAGCTGCCTCGAGCCCGATTGCTCTGTGAGGATCCAGGGGCCCTGTGCCGTGTGGTGTCGTAGTTGTCGATCACCTCCTTAGGGGGCCACATGCGAACCCTACCCCTACCCCCCACGATTTCTGAGGGGGAGGGTGGGGTTCACTTCGTTCGAGAGCTCCCGAGCGAAGTGAACCCCACCCTCCCCCTCAGAAATCGTGGGGGGGAGGGGTAGGGTTCGCATGTGGCCCCCTACTCCTCTGGGGGGGCGCCGTTATGCCGTGTGGCAGCTGTCGCTCCAGGATGATCCCAGAAACCTTCAGCTGGCCCGCCCAAGAGGCCCCCCCAGACGCCCCAGACGGCGCCCCAAGAGGCCCAGAGCAGGTCCCGAGGGACCCTCGAGAAGCCGCAGCACGCCCCCAAGACTCAGGAGGGAAAATAAGCACAGACACAATTTGTCGTCGACTCCCGGGAAAATCTAGGAAAATATGGGAAGTGGGGGGGACGACGAACATACATAAGATATTGAAACATATGGGGAGTCCTGTGATTTGGGTGTATTTATTTGTGTGTCCTTGGGCCCCCTGAAAGGCTGCCCCCAACAGAAGCTTCCGAGGGGAAGTCTCACATAGAGCTCTGGGACCGCTCTGGCCACCGAGGAAAATACGGCGCCAGTGCGCCTCTCATATTTTTCACCTCGTTTGCAAAGGCTCCGCTCTGAATGGGCGACTCGTCCGGGAGTTGTTCTTTCGGAGAGCGCTCTGGACAGGCTGGCCATTCGGGGCATGCTCCGCAGTGCCTTCGAGCTTCTCCCCATCCCAGGCAGCCCGCGCGCATCCTCCGACCTCCTCGGGCGGCCACATCCACCATGGAACATCGTAAGAGAAGAAGGCGAAGGCCCGCTGTTGCTTGTTGATTTCCAGCCTTGGTTCAAATACAGCCTCAAGGTGGCTCAAAACCATCCTGGGGCGGCCCACAACGCCCACATCACCCGAACGGCAGCAGCATGAAACACGAGGCAGGCAACAATAGCGTCAGCACACAGCAAACAGCAAACAGCAGCAGCAGCAGCAACAGCAACCTCGCGGTCAGCAGCACACACTAATCAGTCGTGGCCATCGGCAGCACACTTCGGCCACAAGCAACAGCGACACACAGCAACGGCAAACATGATCAATAAACATGCAACAGCGGCAGCAAGCAACAGCACGCGAGGCATGCGCCGAGTGCGAGGGTCGAGCCCCACGTTGTGATGACAACCCCAGAGATCCCAACACACTTCCAGGATGCCGCAACACGCTTCAAATCTGCTCCTGAGGCAGGGGCAGCGGACGCCAGGCGAGATGAAGAGGATGATGATGATGACGAGGAGGAGGAGGAGGAGGAGGAGGAGGAGGAGGAGGAGGAGCTGCTGCTGCTGTTGCTACTGCCCATGCCCCTGGGTCGTCTGCGGCTGATACTGCGAGCGCTGCTCTGGACGCCGTCAGAAGCATCAAGCAAGCAGCGCACCCTGAAGCAATTGGCAGCACTGAGTCCACGGGTCAGCCTTATAAGCTAGAACGTTGGGATTAGCGCGTGCGGGGACGGTGAGCAGTCGCAGCTGGCTTCGGCGTTGTTCGGCGAGCTTTGACACACATCTAATAAGACGGCGCGTCCGACCCAACATCAGCAGCGCCCTGCAGCTTCTATCAGCGACAGCACGCAGCAGCGGTACGTAAGCATTACGAACAGCACGCAGCAGCGGCAGAAAGCAGCAACACGCAGTAGTCTTGCGCGGAATGCGAAGTTCGAGCCACACGTAATCATGTCAGCATTTCGGCAGCACGTCTACCAGCACATGCCAGCTCGGGCAGACTTCGTGGACGTAGCCCACGAAATATGTAATCTATGTGGTGCAAGCTATGTGGTGCAAGTCACTTGCCGAGCTTGCAGTTGTCAACTCCACTGCTCGCACAATCATCCCACCCCCCCACCCGCAACTTGGTTTGCAAACCCCATGCGGGAGCGATTGCGATGAGTCCTTGGTGTTGGCTGGTGCGTCTCTGCGGCCGCGCTAGCCCGCGCATGCTCGCGCCCGTAGCGGCCAGCTAGTTTGGCGCGACCGACACGAACGCGGTGGCGCTGACCGCTCGGCACATTTGAGCGGGCATTTCAGTGCGAGTCGGCGACTTGGGCGGGCGCGGTACCATGGCAACGTCGACAACGGTAGACACGATGTTAGTAGCTGGTGACAATGCCCAAGACGGCCCAAGAGAGCCCCAAGAGGCCCCAAAAGGTTTTCAGAGCGGCTTCAAGTTGATTCCAAGAGCGCCCTAAAACAAGTGGAGTGACGCCACTTGCTTGAGGATTCTCTCCGGGCCCACTTGGGGCACTTAGGGCGGCCTCTGAGCGCTCCCGGAGGCCGGCGAAGTCTCGCCGCAGGGAAGGCAGGAGCGGGCCCCACGAGACCGGACGGAGGCTTCGAAGACGGCTTGAAGTGCATTCCGAGAGAGCCCAAGTGGAGCGACGACGCCACTTCCTCTTGGGGCCATCTTCGGGTGCCCTTGGGGCCCTTTTTGGAGCCTCCCAGGAGCTCGCCTGCATTCTGCCTGGAGCCCCAGGGTGGCTCCGAGAGGGCCCCGAGAGGCTTCGAGGGGAGACCCCCAGAGGGCTCCAAAAGCCCTCCAAGATGGCCCACAAGCAAGTGTCGTCACTCCGCTTGCTTTGGGATTCTCTCCCGGCCCACTTGGGCTCTCGGAGCGCTCCCAGGCGCTGCCTAAGTCCAGCCTGAAGCCCCAGGGTAGGCCCAAGCAGGCCCCAAGAGGCCCCAGAAGAGCTTTCGGAGCGGCTTCGAGTGGATTTCAAGAGAGCCCCAAAGCAAGTGGAGTGACGCCATTTGCTTGTGGATTCTCTCCGGGCCAACTTGGGGCCCCTCGGAGCTCTGCCAGGCGTCGCCTCAGTCCCGCCTGAAGCCCCAGGGGAGGCAGGAGCGGGCCCCACGAGCCCACAACGAGGCTTCCAAGACGGATTGAAGTGCATTCCAAGAGAGTGCTGCACTCCAATGTCTCGATTGCGGCGATCCCCCCAGCGAGTCCGTCCCACGAGGGGCGGCGACGTCGTCGTCGACTTGTCGTTGTCGCCGTCGCTCATCGTCCTCATTCGATCATACATGCGACTGGACAGGCAATCCCACAAAATGCGAGATGCGGCCGACAGTATCGTCGTTCGTCCACACTCAATGAGTGATGCGACCATACGGACTGTTTCCTTCTGTGTCGCAGACACGGCCTACAAGCACTGCCCCCCTCAACGTCGATAGTGGTGATCACACCACGGGCACACACTAATCAGCTACAGCGCCGGGATCAGCGCGTGTGAAAAAGGTGAGCAGTGGCTGCGGTTTGTGGCGCTGCTCAGCGACATGCGGGAGGCGAAGCTGGATCCCAACGAGACCTTCTCTACGATGCCGGAGCCTCTGCGTGCGAGACAGCACTGTGCAGCAGTCGCGCTTTTATCTACGAGAGGCCCAGGGAGGGCGAAACGCGTCCCGGGGGCAGCTCCGACAGGCCTGCGGGCTTCGGCTCCGAAGCCAACGACAGCCGAAAAGGGGCCCACGACGGCCCTGACGGCCGAGGAGGCTCCCAAGACTGGCCCAGGAGGCCCCCCCACACGGCCCAAGCAAGTCCCGAGAAGCTCCCCCCGGGGAAGGCCCCGAGAAGCCAGCATCACTTATTTCCTACAGGTTGTTGGAAGGATTGCGGCGTGCTCGCCTTGTCGGGATCCCGATGCTACGCGATAGCCCACGAGGCCCCCAAGATCGCCCCAAGGCGGCCCAGCAGGCCCCAGGAGGGCCCGCATGCAGCTCGAGGGGGACCCAGGACATCCCATGGCGACCCCAAGAGGGACCCACGAGGACCCCACGAGGGCCTCGGGCCACGCAACCGATACGGGCCAGCGGAGCCCAAAGACGGCCGAAGAGGCGCCCAAGATGGCCCCAATCGCCCAGGAGGCCCCCAAGACGGCCCAAGAAAGTCCCGAGAGGCCCCTCAAGGAGGGCCCCGAGAAGCCAACATCACTGATTTCCTACAGGTTGATGGAAGGGTTTCGGCCGTCCCGCCTTTTCGGGATTCCGATGTTGCGCGATGGCCCACGAGGCCCCCAAGATCGTCCCAAGGCGGCCCAGCAGGCCCCAGGAGTGCCCGCATGCAGCTCGAGGGGGACCCAGGACATCCCATGGCGACCCCAAGAGGGACCCACGAGGACCCCACGAGGGCCGCGGGCCACGCAACCGATACGGGCCAGCGGAGCCCAAAGACGGCCGAAGAGGCGCCCAAGATGGCCCCAATCGCCCAGGAGGCCCCCAAGACGGCCCAAGAAAGTCCCAAGAGGCCCCTCAAGGAGGGCCCCGAGAAGCCAACATCACTGATTTCCTACAGGTTGTTGGAAGGATTCTGGCGTTCTCGCCTTGTCGGGATCCCGATGCTACGCGATGGCCCACGAGGCCCCAAAGATCGCCCCAAGGCGGCCCAGCAGGCCCCAGGAGGGCCCGCATGCAGCTCGAGGGGGACCCAGGACATCCCATGGCGACCCCAAGAGGGACCCACGAGGACCCCACGAGGGCCTCGGGCCACGCAACCGATACGGGCCAGCGGAGCCCAAAGACGGCCGAAGAGGCGCCCAAGATGGCCCCAATCGCCCAGGAGGCCCCCAAGACGGCCCAAGAAAGTCCCAAGAGGCCCCCCGAGAAGGGCCCCGGGAAGCCAACATCACTGATTTCCGATAGGTTTTGATGTTGACGTTCTCGCCTTTTCGGGCTTCCGATGCTACACGATGGCCCACAAGGCCCCCAAGATCGCCCCAGGGCGGCTCCACAGGCCCCCGAAAAGGCTATCAGGCAGCCCAAGAGGGCCTCAAGGCAGCCCGAGACGGACCCACGCCGCCCCATGGCGGCCCCAAAAGGGACCCAGGACGACCCCACGAGGGCCTCGGGCCACGCCCCCATAATTAGTACCCAGCGGAGCCCAAAGACTGCCGAATGGGCGCCCACGATGGCCCCAACGTCCCAGGAGGCCCCCAACACGACCCAAGACTGTCCCAAGAGGACCCCCAATAGGACCCAGAGAAGCCAACATCATCGATGTTCGATCGGCTTTTGAAGATGTTAGACGTTCTCGCCTTTTCGGGCTTCCGATGCTACACGATGGCCCACGATGCTGCAACATCGCCCCAAGGCGGCCTCACAGGCCCCCAAGAGGGCCCCCCAGGCAGCCCAAGAAGGCTTCAAGGCCGCCCAAGAGGGACCCAAGACAGCCCATGCCGGCCCCAAGAGGGGCCCATGAGTGCCCCAAGAGGGGGAATTGGCACATCTCGCATCCTCCAGTCCAAGGTGGCCCCGAGGCTGCCAGCATATCCCCAAGACGCCACCCAGAGGCCCCAGGAGGCCCGCACGAGGCCCTGGTCAGGGCCCACGAGGGCCCCGACCCGCCCCAGCTGCCCCCCACCAAGGCTTCCGAGGGGAGATCCGAGTTATGGGACCGAGCCGGCCGCCCAAGAGAGCCCCACCCTCACCCCTCCTCGCCTCTCTCTCTCTCTCTGTCTCTTTTTCTCTCATATCTCTCTCTCTCTCTTCTATGTTCGACTGTTGCTTCCCTTGACGCTCCTCGCTCCTCGCTGATCGCTCCTCACTCCCCCCCCTCGAACCTGTCTCCTCGCTCCTCGGTCCACTCACGAACTTCTAGTTACGTCAGCCGGCAAAGGTAGTTACAGAGAAACAGCACTCCGCAGCCTCAAGAAGCAAAAGCGAACAGCGGCAGTCTGCAGCAAGCAGCGGCAGCACACGGCCAAAGATCGCAGAAGCAGCAACATGCCGCATCAGGCATCAACAGTTGCTGGAGTCCGGGCCCAAAGACATCACGAAAGACTTTTGGCAACATCGTTGCCCTGGCCCACGTGCCATCTCGGACATATCTCGTGGCGGGTAGGCCACAGGTCAGCTACAGCGCTGGAATCAGCGCGTGCGGGAAGGGGGCGCAGTGGCAGCGGGCCTTGGCGCTGGCCTGCGAGATGCGGGAGGAGAGGCTGGAGCCAACCGTCATCAGCTACGGCACCGAGGTCAGCTCGTGCGAGAAGGCCAAGCGCACTGCCGGGGGGAGCCGCGCGCAGGAAGGGAGACGAAGTTGGAGCCAACCGTCATCAGCTACAGCGCCGAGGTTAGCTCGTCCGAGAAGGCCAACAGTGTTGACTCTGGGGGATGATTGCTCTCTGGTCAAGGCAGGGAAGTTCGCCGTAGAACCCGAGTCTTCCCGTCGACTGTGGCACGAGTACTCCGCCGTGACAATCTTTTGGCCCGCTTATCTAGGCGAGAGCAGAGCGTCGCAACGCTTGCGATGGCGCCTCCTCCCCCGTAGACTCCTACACCAAGACGACAAAGCGCAGCGGTGGCGCGGCCGCGGCGGAAGAAACAAATTCTTCCACTGAGATGAATTTATAGCAACTGTTTGTTTCAGGGGATTAATTATTCCGCCTATTTTTGGACGCGTGGAGAATTTTTCCGCGCCGGTGCGAGGGAACTCCACTGGGCAAGGCAAATGGAACTATTTTTTCGTCCCGCCGTGTAGTCTATCTGATCTCTTCGGAGCTCTCCGAAGTTCTCAAGAATCGCTTGTGAGCCATGGCGTGCGTTTTGCCCAGCACACCG